CAAGCAATACGTGATCCTTGAATTTTCAACAATTTGTATAAAAGATTTTGGATATAATTAACCCAACAAATTGGTTTAATCATAGCTCAACTCTACCATAGATGCCCTCTAGGACAAGCAGGTCAATCACATGGTTGAGTCATAATAAACACTTTTGCAGTAGATGATATCGTAGAATTCTTCTAACACTAGTATGTAATGATCATGTGTTTGTGAAAGATCTTACTCATAGGTCCAACATTTGTGGTCGACCTTGAAACTCGAGCTATTTGTCTAGAGCATTGTGGTCCGCAAGCCAACGATCATACTCCTATACTAACTTAGACGTGCTTCTATTGGGAATGTGGAATGATATGCTAAGAGATTATACACATAGGTCCAACAATTGTGGTTGGCCTGTGAGATGCAAGCTATTTATCTAGAGTAATGTGATTTGTAGGCAAATGGATATATTCCTTTACTAACTTAGACTCGAACCTTCGATTTTTGACTTATTGAACTCAATTTATTAGAATCCCAATAGAGGTAAATGTACCCTATCCCTCTAGAGTAGGAGATAAATTTTTTATATAATTATTGACACGTGAACTTCACATATACGTCAGTTCATACTAGGGAAACTTTTCTTGTTTGGTAGGAATAAATAAATAAATATATAAATAAATAATATGTACATTGTTAAAGAATTTTGCATACCTCAACTGGTTGATTTGACTTTGAACTATTTATGCATCAAATTATGATAACTTACATGTAGACAAAGTTTATCTTTTGTTGGTAAAAATAGACCTGATATACTGTTTTGGCTGGAGTCTATTTTCAAAGTTGAGTTGATGCATGATAAGATAAAAAGTTGTTTTGTTTCGTTTGTCCAATCACATGCTCAAAAGTATTCGATGGAATTTGATTAGAAGGGTAAATTTGTTATTATCTTGATAAAATATCTGAGAAAGTGAATGGGAACGAACCTCTGACTTGTACATATTTTCTAATTTAATTTTGAATAGAATGTACCTTATAAATCAATTTCTTTGTAGTATATTCTTTCCATTGTATTAGTGCTACCTGGTGTCATTTTTTGTTTTGTTTTGTTTAATAAAGGTGAATTTACATAGTCTGGTATCTTGTTCTTTGTATTTGATCAATTGATTTTGTTCATATGATTAATGCAGATCTTGTTGCTATTTCGGTGACTTGAATGACACTATAAATTAGCAAATATTGTGCTTTTTGATGTAACGACCCGACCTCGCATCGGAATTGTTATCATATCGTACGTATTGTCCGCTTTGGGAGAGCCTAGCCCCATCTTACCCCTCACGGATTTCTGACACGTCCCCCAAAATTCGAACCCAAGACACGCAAGGTCGGGTGGTTACAACAATTGGTACCAGAATTCAATTTAAGTCTCTTATATGATGGAGGTCTTGAGTTCGAATCTTGAGGGATGCATCAGAAAGCCGTGAGGGGTAAGATGGGTCTAGGCCCTCCCCAAGCAGGCAGTACGCAAGCTAACGGTTCCGACGCGAGGTCAGGTGGTTACAACAATTGGTATTATGATTCAATTTAAGTCTCTCATATAATGGAGATCTTGGGTTCGAATCCCGTGGGACGCATCAAAAAGCCGTGATGGGTAAGATGGGTCTAGGCCCTCCCAAAGCAGGCAGTACGCAAGTTAACAGTTTGACTATAGAGACCTGAATCGTTACATTTCACCTGTTTCTCAATTCAATATTACACAATATCTTTGTAATACTCTTCATAACTCAATTAGAGATTACCCATATTTATTGACAAAGATTGAAGCATCAGAAAGGGACTCCTATTTAGTTGGGATTTATGAGTACTGGATAGGCTCCTTATTTATAACTAAAATAACTCGTCGATCGTCTGATTTCCTCTAAAATAACTTCTTGTAGCTTCGCTCATGGACAATTTGAAACAACTTTCGACTCAAACAATAGAGCCAAGAAATTTTTTAATTTATTAGCTTATCATGTTCGGTAAATAGCTATATACACTTCGGAATATCGAAAAAGACTATCTTATCAAAAAACTCTACAATTCATGTGAACCTCAGAAAACAAATTAATAATTCTCCCATATTACTCAAAAGAATTTTTAATAAAGAGACTTTCAAAATGATAAGGTTACAAAAGAAATGCGTGTAGCTGAAATGAGTTGATATCATCCGTACTTTATGAATAAATTCTCTCATTTTATCAGCTACTTACAGTTCTTTAATAACTGTGTTCTTACGGCTATCAAGATTGGAACTTTGAAGGCCGGTGACGAGAAAGGTTCCATTTGAACCACACTTGCAAACAGGTTAATCGATTCAAAGGGTCGAGAGAAGTTCGATATATGCGTGTTTAGCATGTGTGTATAGAAAATCGAGTGACAGCAATACTAGGGAGTACCTGTTTGTTCAGCATTATACTATCTTTAGTGCTTAAATCTTTATTTCATCCTTGTTCAAATACACATAACCTAATTTCCAAACAAACACAAGATTTGCTTCTCAAGTCTCATGAAATAAAGATATTGGAGATTCATCTAAACACCAAACTAAATTATTTTATTCCATTAATTAAAGGCAATTTGACAAGTACTCAAAAACCCCACAAGTTGTCTAAAAGTAACCCACATAAGTTGCAATACTCAAACTAAACTTGTGCCCGAACCACTTAGCTGAATGGAGTTAAGATCATCCAACACTTTCTGAAGAAACGCTCTCATTTTATCAGTTGCTTTCAGTTCATCAATGACTTTTCTCTTAAAATGTTCTAGCTGATGTTCACTTGGATTAAAAATATCAAAATCGTTCGGCGAGTCAAAAGCTTTTTCATAATCTTCTTCCACTGATGGATCCATTGGCAATGGAAACTTCGAGCTTTCATCAGGATTTTCCGGCACCAAATTCGCCACTTTTTCCATTGTTAGATCCAAGTCTGTATCAGTTGGCAATGCAAACTCAACATGAATACCCTCTTTGGGTTTCATGTCATTTCCCTTCAAATCCTGTTTGAAATCTTCATTGGACTCAACAGTACCTTCAGGAATACAATCAGCCAGAGCTATAGCATTAGCTATCATATCTTCATCAATGAACGACAGATCATCTTTTGGCAAATCGCTAGCAGTATCAGGCAAATCAACAGAAAAAACAGCAGGCACTACAGATGCAGTGTCATTTTCCTTCATAACCAGTTTTACACCTTCATTAAACTCATCAGGAACATCCTCTTTGGGCGAATGGTCTGAAGAATCAGCCGTAGGTATAGCAGATAATATTACAACAGCAGTGTTTTCATCAACGGCAGCAGTTGAGTCAGGATTTGTATTGATTTCTGACAGCAAAATAGGTAAATAAATGTTCGAATATATATTATACTAAACTGTGTAGTATAAAAAAAAAATTGCTAACAAAATACCCCGGAACTTGTTTGCATTGTTTGAGTTCAAGTTTTCTAGTGCTTTCTTCTTCTTGGCAGCTGCTCTCCTCTTCTTCGGACCCGACGGCATTTTTGCTGATGGATTAAACAGATGCATGAAGAGTTATTTATACTGAAAAGAGGCTGTTTGAATTCTGGCATTGGCTATTCAATTTCAAACCGGTGGACTGCAACTTTGAAGTCCCAATGAAGACAGCGCGCAATCTGGAACTGAAGGGTCATGCAGCAATCGAGGTTCAATTTATATGCCATGAAAAAACAAAAAAAGGGAAAAACTTCAATGCATGGCAAAAGAAATAAATATAAGATTCACTAACAGTAGCGCGGCAAAGTGTCAAAGCAACCTTCATTGCTTGCAGCTCGATTTGATATTGCCATGCTTTTAAGATAATTAAATAAATTTATTGTGCTGAGGAAAGCTTCAGTTGCATGTAATATCAGTAGAGTAAACTTTTTGTTTCATAAAAATAAACAATATCAAATATTATTCTAAGACAATGATTTCGCGATATTTATCTTAAAATATAAAAAGAATTAATATTTATGAAGCCCTTGTTTGAGCCTTATTTTTCTAAATTTTTTTTTTTCAAAACTCATTTTCAACTATACATTCTCCAGTAAAATAATATTACACGTAAACTTAAATTTTTTCCTTAATTTTTAACCACACATTCTCCATCAATCTACTATTACAAAATGCATTCTTTCTTCAAAATGGGACTCAAACACGAGCGAAACCTCAAAATCCTTAAATTATAAAATAAAAGCTTTAAAATAAGAATTAGTCTATGTGTACACCACAAAGTGTACACAATGTTTCACACCTTCCTCACATGGAGGGGGATTCACAAATATTTTATTGGGTGTGGGCCCCCTCCATGTGAGGGAGGTGTGAAACATTATATACACATAGCATTTCTCTTAAAATAATTCCCTAGTTTGGTGTTTAGATTAATCTTTAAAATAATCAAAAGTTGAGCTTTAAAATAATCTCTAGAGGGACGACTACCTCATGTAGTTTATTTTAGTTAGTATGGCACAGTGATGAATCAAAAGAATCGCACATAGGGCTACTAGAATAAACGGACTATGAAGGTTGGTCGTCGATCAAAACAAAGAGTCTGAAAAGGAAAATGATCAAGGGTAGAAAGGTTAAATCGGACTGAATCGAAAGTATAATTAATAATTTTCAATAACTATTTATGGTTTTTTTTTTTTTTTTAACAGCGGGTAAAGTTACTTATGAATGGTAAAGAAAAAGTTACTTCTGAATAAAAAATTTTACGACTTTGCTATCGGTACATCAAGGTGTATACAAGGGGTTACACCCCTCTCACGTGGGGGGTGGGACCCACTTTAATAAAAAAATATTACTCAAGTGAATCCCACCCCCACGTGAGAGGGGTGTAATCGCTTATGTACATCTTTTGACGTAGATAATTCCAAAATTTTAAGCTTAGCCAAACATTCAAGCAACTTCCACTTTTTTCTTCAAAAGGAAATACAAAATAAGGATTCAGAAGACCGAACTCAAAAGGGCGAAAAATGGCAGAGAAATTGGCTCCAGAGCAACGCCACAGCTTCGTCCATAATGGTATTAACCTCCTTTGTTTTTACGTATGCCTGGATGATTAACATGTAATTATCTAGTGATGGGGTTGGAAATTAAGTGGATAATCATTAATCAACCTGTAATTATCTGGGGAATTAACATGTTATTATGTGGTGATGGGGTTGAATATTTTCAGGCCAGAAGGTGTTCGAGTGGGATCAAACGCTGGAAGAGGTGAATATGTACATCACCCTTCCACCAAATGTTCCGAAGAAACTATTTAACTGTAAGATTGATTCCAAGCATGTCCAAGTTGGGATTAAAGGAAACCCTCCATATCTTGATGTATGTTTTTCTGATTCTATTTTTCTTTCTGAATTTCTTTTGTGCTTTCGTAACTGTAGTTTAGCAGTTCATTAATTGTGTGTACTTTTTTTAATGTACGTAATGTTTACAGCATGATCTTACCTGCCCGGTGAAGACAGATTGTTCATTTTGGACTCTAGGTACTTTCTTATGGTTAAATAATTTTCTGCTCAAAAAAAATTAGATGATTCCTTTTTTAATTAGTTGTGAAAGTTTACAAGATTACTATTTCTTGGCTACTTTTCACAGGATAGTGAGTATACGGTTTGGGTGAATGAGAAAAAGTGTGAAAGTTTTTGACCTAGTTATACCTAAAAATTTTGGGTTTTGTTGAAATGTAAAATACTTGTGAATAAAGAGTACTGCTAGATTATTGACCACTCGTCAAAGCTGAAAATGAGCTAAATTTTGGGAATTTTGTTCGAGTTTGGTTATAAACATATTAATTCCAACACGTGCACACAACAGGAGGATGGTTTGTTAACAGATATATGAAATAGATCAACTTAAGATTTGTGATTGCTGAACAGAGATGATAAAGCCAATTTATAATTTCTAAAGCATGTAAATTATTTGTACTAACTTGTGATATATGTTGCAGAGGACGATGTAATGCATATAACCTTGCAAAAGAGAGACAAAGGTCAGACATGGTCTTCTCCTATTTTAGGTCAAGGCCAGTTGGATCCTTACACCACAGATCTCGAACAAAAGCGCCTCATGCTTCAACGATTTCAAGAGGAGGTACAGTATCTACTTGTTCTTTAGCCAAATTTGAACTTACAGTTATTGTATTGCCATCTTCCTTCTTTCCTTTGACATTTGCTTTTTTGGGGTTAAGATTTTTTCACATTCTTCATTTGGTTCTGGTTGACCTTGTTGTACATGTTATTTTTTCCATCTTCACAATATATTTCACTTCCATTTTTGGTGCTTTTCCTTTTTTAGTTGTATTCGGAAATGAAAATTAGGTTTTTTAATTTTGGGCTCTGCGTTGTGTGCCTTGCTATAATCTACTTGGCATATTGATATTAGGTTTGAAGTGTTTGGTAATTAGTTACAGAGAAAATTATGCAGAACAAAAAGATGCATATCTGACAAATCCTAGATGTTGTAACAAAGTGTTCTTAACTTTATATTACCTTGAAGAAGTATTCTTTTATGAGTAACAAAGTGGTATTTGGGGTTAAACAGAAATCAGGAGAACTATCAATGGTCATGGAGTGTATACCTAGAGTCTATTAGCGAAATTCATAGCTTCCACCAAATAGCTTTTCTCTCTGTCAAGAGGTTCTTATTCAAAATTTTAGTACAATAATTAGCCCTATATTAAATTGTCAATTGTGGTTCGGTAAGTGTAAATGGATTGCACCTGCCTATCAAAAACAAAAAACTGTCAGTATTAGGGGAAAAAATAACTTCTTTTGGGTGGGAAAGTTCAACTTCGTGTTCTGCCAAGTTAAATAAGGCCACCCCACCCATGAATAATGATGTAGCTGGCTTGGCTGGGGATTCAAAAATTTTAAAGTAGAAGGTGAAAAGAACCATATTACATACTCCTTTGGTTTGTGGCATGGGGCACTTCCTCCCCAGATGACTCCTTGAATTATTCGTGGGAGCAAGTGGATTTATATATCCAACTTCTAGGATGAGGAGACAAGTTCACTCATGGTTATTAGACGATTCCCTCAGCAACTTATTACTCCCTCCATTACCCATCTCTGACAAGTGGTTATCACGTGTTAAAGTCCTTGCTCCAACCTCCACCACCATAAACCACTTTTCCCCTCACTACTGTTACCTCCCTGTCCCTTCTCCAATCTCCACAGAACTACCCTCCTCTTATGTCCACCGCCTGCTCCTTTCCTTTCATGAGACAAACATAGAAAACAAGTGAAGTTCCTTAATAGAAAAAGTAAATCGAAGAAAGAGAAATGTATTATATCACTAAGTATCTTTGTGCCACATATGAGACGAGCAAGTTGCACAATTTAAGCTACTTCAGGTTCCCTACTGTTGGGAGTAATTTCGGAGTCCTTTATATATCTATGTATGCAATCTTTATCTTGTGTTTGATTTGATTTTTGAGGCAGTGAGAATGCTAATGGGAGGAGAATGTTTAGGTGGTGGTGGTTGGCGGTTTAAAATTGGGATTTGGGCTGTGTCTGCTGTGTCAGTGACTTGCAGAGTTTAGGCGAGATGGGCAGGGATGACATGGCAATGATAATTTTAGCCCCTGTTTGAGCCACATTGAAATTTTCATTCTCATTCTTTTACTCATTTTCAACCACACATTTTTCAATAAAATAATATTTTTCATCACATCAATAAATTTTCTTTCTTTTCCAACCACACATTCTCCATCAATTTACTATTCCAAAATACATTCTTCCAAAATAATGTGACTCAAACGCACCCTTATTATTTTTTGGGAGATAAAAGGATGGGGAGATGCGCTAAAGGGAATGCTGTTTGTAATGAAGCTTTATAATTTTTGGTTTCCAAGATTTACTTTTGATAGACCAAACCGGATAAGAATTATATGCCAAGAACATTCTATTCCTCTGTGAACTTTGGGGCATATGGAGAATTTTACTTTCGAGAAAGATATGGTATGGTGGCTTGTGATTACCATGTACTTCCAGAGTCAGTTGAGCACTTGAGCATTAAACTTAATGTATGTCGTATGATCAGATAAATGATTTCAAGACTACCTCATAGCTCCAAATATGATACTAAAATAAAATCACTGTAAAGCCAGAACCTACATGGACCACCTCGAGATATTTTGCTGCTGCATATTGTGACTAATCTTCTACAGAGCTTTTATTAGTTTTCATTTAGTTAAATAGATCAATTGATTTTGCCATAATATAAAATGAATATGTACAAATTTATAGTACATTGATTTTTGTTATTCATACTGAGACATGCTTGTTTGGGAGTGCTTATAAGCAGATTTTAAGCACTCCCAATCATGTTCATATTAAACAAATTAATTGTGCATGATATGATTGTCATCCTTTGCTGCATCTTATCTTTTTCTATGTTACACCTGTTTCATGCACTTGATTCTTATTTACAATGTGGTTCTTTGTACATAAATTTGTGCTTAATGTGATAAAGCATTTGCAGTTTTAAGATTTATTGTAACATAAATAGCCAATGAAACCTATTTGATTGCACACTATATTTGGAAAAATATAAAATATGTTTGAAAACTAGTTCTTACGTACTTAATTTGAAAATTTATGTTTTAATAGTAGGTGTTATTATCCACTCATGGGTAATATAATAGTAAGGTTAGCACTTTTTTCTTGGATGATGAGAATTTGACTCTACGAGAAATTGAAGTAAATAACCACTCAGGTGTAGAACAATAACTTATTTTCTCGTAATACTGTCTTGTAGAGTCCATTTATTAAAGAAGTCATCATTGTACCCACACTTGAACTTGCATATCGTTAGTGTTCTATTTCTTGAGCATTTCATCCTATAGACTATACATTTCTTCTATAATGCAAAGTTTTTTGATGCAGAATCCAGGCTTTGACTTCTCACAGGCACAGTTCTCAGGCAATTGCCCTGATCCAATGACTTTCATGGGTGGGATCCACTCAAGCTAAGAGTTCTTAGTCTTCAAAATAACATATATAAGATGGTATGATCTTAACCATCTCCTGTGCTGGTCACAAAACTAGGTTTATTTACATTATCAAAGTGTAATGTAATTGTTGCAATGCATATCTTGAAAAACTCTTCAAAATAACATTTATTTTCTTCAGTAACTCAGTTGTGTGTGAACTTGACGTGTAATCAAAACTAAGTTAATGTGTATTAGTAGATAGGATTTGACAATACAATGTGAAACAAGATTTTAACCATTTTTTTTTATAATATTCGGTTAATTGATTTGAATGGATAGGATGCACTTGATCCAATCAGGATTCAGTCAGAATCCGTGTATTAGTAGATGGGATTCGACAATATAACGTGAACAAGATTTTAACTCTTTTTTTTTTTTTGATAGTTGGTTGATTGATTTGAATGGATAGGATGCACTTGATCCAATCAAGATTCAGTCAAATGCCGATGCATATCCTATAATCAACAATATTTTAATTTTTTTTTTCTTTTTAATATGACGAATACTCTTGAATCCTCCATGCCAACATATGTCCAGCGTCAGGGCAAGTGGTCCTCGAACTTTTAGCGACATTTTGTCATGAAATTTAATTTGTTCCAACTTAGTTACTGAATTTAAAAATTGATACAAGTTAGTCATTTCTGCTATGTTCGTTAGTCTGATTAATAGAAAAGTCAATGTCTCATATCTTGAAATTCATGTCATTTAAAGGATTGTTACATTACATGGTAATGGAAAAGGGAAAGTACATAATCAAATATTTTTTCATATGTTTGGAAAATACTAGGCTTTTTAATTAGCAGATTTTATCCATTATAGACCTAGAAAGCACGTGTAGACTCTGATAGGATGGTGTTCTAATTAAACAGGAAAAAGTATCGTCATCTCTTTATAAGATGGCGCCTACTCGATAAGATTCACACATTTTGAGCATATAATAACTTATATAATCAGTCACATTTCTTCGTCGTGTCCTATCATCTACCAACAAATGAGTATATCAGGTGTATATTCATCTCTGGCGCAATGCTTAGCTCCTTAATGACATGTATATGAAGTGTAAAGTGTGCCATGAAAATGCACAATGCGAACTTTGAGGTGCATTACCACTATTTTAACGTGGTGATTATAGGATTTCTTTCAAGCATTAGAATTTTTGTTATAGTGATTTTTAGATTTATCTTTTACACAAGGATTTTGGTCGAATTGTATATATATAGTCACTAAAGTTTGCTGGAAAAGGGCAGGGAGGGGGTTTATGAATAGAGAATGAATCCATCTCAAATGTTTGTCCGGATTCTTGATATTAAAGAGTCCAGAATATTGATGTTTTGTTTGAACAAAACAAATTTATATTATGGATTTCCAGTATTTAGGAGTAAATTAACAAGCAATAAAATTATTCTTGGATTATGTACATTCTTATTTTTGTACATGTTTCGTTGTATCAACAACCTTTAGTTATAATAAAAATCTGTTTTGCACGTTTCACACTACATACCGTTAAAAATGCAGTTTATGTAATGTTTTCTCTCGTGCAACATTTATCGTTCAACAAGATATCGATTCTAACTCCTTTATAGATTGGACGGGTGTCACGACAAAGTGATCCTTCTTAAAGAGCCCCTTGATTTGGGAAGAGATTGAAATGGATATATTTGGTAAAATAAAATTGTTTTTTTTTTTTTTCAATTAATACTTTGAGATGGTTCGGCATTTCAAAGGACGAAAACTAACTTATTAGAAACCCCACTTTGACAATGTTTTTTGGGTTTATAAGTTAGTGAATTCAATGAGATATATGGTTAAAAAGTAAATAAAATCGTAGATATAATGATATGTGCACTTAAAAATGAAATTTAATCAGTTTACAATCTCAAAGAAAAACTGTCAAGCGTGGACTAATTGTTAATTATTAATTAATAAAGAGATAGCAAAAAAATTTCTATCGAATTTGAAAAATATATAATTTAAAAAAAATTTGATTTAAATTCATAACTTTATTTAAATGCTAGTGCAATAATTAGATTTATGTTTATATTTCATTATTTTATTTAAATGATTACTATTCTACGTCAAATGAATCTTTACTATACACAAACTATAATATATTGAAATTTTTTATATAATTATATATTTTTTAAAACTAAATAATTACGATTTGCAAAGACATAATTAATTAATTAAACTTCTTCATTGAAAGAAATTTCAATTATTACATGCATATATTACGAAAGAGAGAGACTTACAAATCAATACATCAAATTTCTCTCTCTCTCTCTCTCTCTCTCNCCCAAATCTTGGACATTTTTTTTGGTAATAACTAGTGCTTAAGATGGGATGCCGCTGGGAATATGCGGCAGTGGAAAATAGCAATAAAAGTTATAACAAAAGGAGTAATTTCAAAGCCATTATCTCTGTTTTATCTTCTCTCAAAACTTTTAGAGTGAGAGGGGGGAGCAGTGGGTGGTGTTACAGAGAGAAAATGGGGGCGGGGAAGTATAGTTTTAGAGGGGATCGTTTACTGGGGTTAATGAAATTGAAAATAATAAATTTTGATGACCACACCACATTTTTTTTAGTTTTTATTGGATTAAGGATATAATTGTAAATTTATTGTGGTGTATTTATTAAAAGTATATTTTCATTGTGGTGCAATTATAATGTGGTGTAGTAAGTTAATTTTGTGGTGGTAATATAATTACCCTTAGATAATTAATCCATCTCAAATGTTTGTCCGGATTCTTGATATTAAAGAGTCCAAATTTTGATGTTTTGTTTGAATAAAACAAGTTTTATATTATGGATTTCCAGTATTTACGAGTAAATTAACAAGCACTAAAAATTATTCTTGGATTATGTATTTTCTTATTTTTGTACATGTTTCGTTGTATCAACAACCTTTAGTTATAATAAAAACCTGTTTTGCACAGGTCACACTGCATACCGTTAAAAATGCAGTTTATGTAATGTTTTCTCCCGTGCAACATTTATCGTTCAACAAGATATCGATTCTAACTCCTTTATAGATTGGATGGGTGTCACGACAAAGTGATCCTTCTTAAAGAGCCCCTTGATTTGGGAAGAGATTGAAATGGATATATTTGGTAAAATAAAATTGTTTTTTTTTTTTCAATTAATACTTTGAGATGGTTCGGCATTTCAAAGGACGAAAACTAACTTATTAAAAACCCCTCTTTGACAATGTTTTTTGGGTTTATAAGCTAGTGAATTCCATGAGATATTTGGTTAAAAAGTAAATAAAATCGTAGATATAATGATATGTGCACTTAAAAATGAAATTTAATCAGTTTATAATCTCAAATAAAAATTGTCAAACGTGGACTAATTGTTAATTATTAATTAATAAAGAAATAGCAAAAAAATTTCTATCGAATTTGAAAAATATATAATTTAAAAAAAAATTGATTTAAATTCATAACTTTATTTAAATGCTACTGCAATAATTAGATTTATGTTTATATTTCATTATTTTATTTAAATGATTACTATTCTACGTCAAATGAATCTTTACTATACACAAACTATAATATATTGAAATTTTTTATATAATTATATATTTTTTAAAACTAAATAATTACGATTTGCAAAGACATAATTAATTAATTAAACTTCTTCATTGAAAGAAATTTCAATTATTACATGCATATATTACGAAAGAGAGAGACTTACAAATCAATACATCAAATTTCTCTCTCTCTCTCTCTCTCTCTCTCACACACACACACACACAGAGCTCAAAATTTACAGCAACAATAAGCAATATTTGGATATAAATTCAGATCTTAGATGCAGAAATATTTATATCAATCTTGTTCAATCCATGGAGTCCACCGGGTCACTGATCCACTTCAGATCAGGTTCAATCATAGGCGCTTTTCCTTTCTTGGCTGAGGAAGAAGTTTCGTGGACTTTCATTGCCTCTAAAGAGTTCAGCAAATCAGTTAGATTATCGGCGTAGTAGCAGGGCTATCTTAAGTCGAGCCGCGGAGCATTGGAGTACTCGAAACTTTCGTACCTGTTGAAGACAATTTTTGAATTTGACACTATATATCTAAATTCTTTAAGTTTAATAAAATGAATCGTTGTACCTAGAAAGGAGTGGAAATTCCCTTTCTTTTTCCGGCGAAACTCCCGTCAAAGTCGAGTTATGAGAAGCCAAGATCGTATTATTAGAATGACGGCAGCAGCCACAGCAATGATTCACATGAGTAACCGGAGAATTCATCGGAGATGAATATTCCTCCGGCAAAAGGCGAATCTGGCTTGGAGTATGTGCGAAAAAACAGACCCTTCGGTAACAATAGCGGCCATCTTTGCAAGCCTCAGTTCGATAACGAGTTGGATGAAGCCAAGACTCAAAAATTCCATGTGCAAATTCACAGCTTTCACCGCGCCTGCAATGGCCTTTGCGGAACTCCGTGCAGATAGTTCCGGTGTAACGATACTTCCGAGGATCTCGACGGCGGGCCTTCTCACCAGGGTGTGCGAAGGGGCAGCTCGTCCAGTCGTGGCTACCGCCTTGCGGGCACATACGGACCTATACTTTTTAATCAAACCACCACGTGAGTGAAATATTTATTAATATTAAAAACATAAATAAGCACGAGACATAGGAATACGAACCTTGAACTCGTACATTCTGAAATAGTCCGAGGTGAAAGGATTCTTCTCATCGTCATCAACATAATAGGGTAAGTGTTTTTTGGAAAGGGAGCTCTGATCGGAAGAATCCATGAACATGTATGTGGCACCACCACCGTCGTGATAAAGCGTCTGCGCCGCTGCTAAATGGCGGCGATGGAGTTTTCTTGGTGGGATTTGTATTTCCCTTATCATTTTCTTGTGGGCATTGAGTTGGTGCGACTGATGGAACTATTGTTGCCGCTGAAACTCATTACAAGCACCGATCCCCATTGTGAATCAAGAATGCTAAGAGAGGGATGGTGTGGAGTAGGGTAGGGTAGGGTAGAGTGAGGTGGGTGTGGAAGAAGAGAGGTGACGGATATACATATAGGTGGCCATATAGAGAGAGAAAGTGAAAGAACTAGAGATAAAGGGAGTGACGAGGATGTGCAGACTGCGTGGCTTAATAATATTAGATTTATGCATGCAAAATGCTCTATGTGGCTCGAAGTACAAATGTGGAAAGTACGAAGAAGAAATTTGGGCCGGGCTTTTGTACTTTTCTTTGAGTCACGCTATTTGTGATATCACATGGAGGGTAAAATAATCTTTTTGCAATCCCCATTTAACATGAATATTGCTATTCATCACTAGTCGTGCTCATTATCGATCTAGATGGTAGTGTCGAGGACTAAATTGCTGTTGAAATTAATGAAGAATTAAGTGCTTCCACTTGGTAAAAACGTTCACGCAGCTTAGTTTTTGCGCTTCTCTCCATCGAGTCGGTGGAAGACTACAAGTCTTAGCCTTCAGAGAAGAACCGAGTCAAAGAAGCAAATGCAATATTTTATAATAGCTTTACATTACGAAATATCTTCACAGAGTTCGAGGAAAGAACCCATGACCCGATCTAGGGTTGAATATAGTGAGACTATTTCGGGGTTTAAAAGGGTAAATAATATAATGTAAATAAAAGTTTTATTTACTTATTTTAAAATGTGAATGTACACATTTCAAAAGAGTAATTGTTACACGTGCATGAAAAGTTTTGGAATTCACGTAAGTTCGAGATTAAAATAAGTATAATTTAACCGTACAAGTGTGGTGTTGAGAGAAAAATACCACGATAAATCGGGAGTTGGACAAGAGAATTCCTATCAATTTTGTCTGTTTTATGTTACTTTTGTCGCGATTGTGCTTTCATTATGTTGCAAAGTTTTGCGTTGTTTTTCGTTTGTTGTTTTATGACTGTAATTGTTTTGTCGAGTAATATAATTCTACGAGACTTCCATTATTTGCGTTAAAAATTGCGTCTCGATGCATTGATATGGAAATGGGGGCGAATGAAACAAGCATTGATTATATTTAATAACTTTAAAGGATTACGTCAATATTCGTAATAAATCTCAATAGTAAAGTAGAAGCTCGTCGACAAAATGCGCAGTCATTACAATCCAATCATTTTGTTATTTTTGTCATAATAGTAAACTTGAAACCAGATTAATTGATCTGACCCGAGAATCGACGAATCAGATAGTGGTCCGATCCAATCCAAGTGCATTAATTGTCAAAGAAATCGGTCAAGAACTGTTATGCCAATCAAGAATTGTTCGGAGCAGGCGAGTTCACAGGAACTTGGAGCTTATTCAATGTAAACTAGTTGGTTACCAAAATTTTCCATCGCAATTTTTTTATTCAACTTGTACTTGTAGCGATTCAATCTTGGTCTTCGAATATGAAATATCACAACCATGATTGCTATGGAATTTGCCTATCCTTGGAAATGAATGTGAGCAAAATATATATTTTGCCTCAGTAAATTCATTGTCTTTTATTTTTAAGATATGTATTAATTAAAACTATAATGTAACAATGATTCACCGATTGAACCACTCACCCTTCGAGTCGACAAATTTTACAAATTTTCTCTTCTCTTGTGTATAATAAATTGAAATTGCAGATGAAAATAAATAACTAAACCCACTCCCAGGAGTGGGCCTTCTGGAGAGAGACATCTAGTGCAGTCGATATCAAGTCCGTGCCCACTGCAACCGATGCATAAGCCCTTGGTGCCCGGAAGCTGTTGACCATTGACTTTATCAACCCCGTTCGTTTCAGTAATACAGATGACACCATGGCTTTTCCTCTTAATTTTCTTGATTTCTATATAGTTATTTTCTTCTCAATTTTCTTGATTTTTATAGCTTTTTGTTGTTGTTTGAAGAGATGATTAGGGCAGAGATTGAGATGGACTTTGGAGGAGAAGAGGACTTCAGAGATTTGTTAATAGTAAGTGTGTTATTTGGTTTATTGGAATCAAGCTTTGCGTGGTTGGTGGTGGTGGTGAGGAGGAGGAGAAGGAAAGAAAGAGAATTTTTATGTATTTATAATTTTTAATAATTTATTTTGAATTTAATTGCAATTTTTTGAAAAATGTTGTGACTATAGTTATAATTAATTCTTCATTTTTCTTTTCTTTTTATTTTATTTAAATATGAGAGTATATTAATCATTTTACAATTTTTTATTGTGAAAATGGATGAAAATGATTTTTTATGGTGATGATGTTTTTCAAAGGTAGAGACGTATATGTCAATTATATTAAAATAAAAAAAAATATTCCCGTAGATGAACCATTGTAATTAATTAAATTTCATTTTGCCACATAATTTGAATTGATTGCATGATTGTTTTAAGAATTAGGTTGGTTTTGTATTATACAATTGAAGGATCACGATACAGTGTCATAATAATTGAAATAATGTGACATGTCACTTTATCATTGTACAGTTTAAAACATTGTAATCTTTTCTATCAAATCACCTCCCCTACCTAAGATTCGGTAATGCTTCTGACACTATTATTCTAACAAAGTGATTTAACCCACAATTGAATGTATAAAATAGTCAACTAGTACTTCTAACAATTTTGGTAGGGATGGCAACGGAACGGGACGGGGCGGGGCGGGGCGGGGGTATATCCATGGTTTTCCTCAATATTTGGGAAAAAATACTAGTAAAAAGAAATATTTTAGTAGATGAACCATAATTTTTCATTTTACTAATTTTGGCCTCCATTTGACAACCATTATTTCAAAAAATAATATTTTAAATAGTGATTTTTAAAAATATGTCACTAAAAAGTAAGAAAAAAAATGTTAAATTTATGTACATAATATTTTATTGTGTGAATATGTCGACTGCAAGATTGGTTAAGAAATAGGTTTTACTTCAGGTTACATGTGCCAATTTCTGATGACAGTCGCTAGAAATTTGCATGAGATCGATCATCGATGTTTGGCTTAATTTCTGCTCTTAATGAGCTTTTGTCCGTATATCGTGGTGATGTCATCAAGATTCAAAGCAATCAAGAGGGCACCCCACGTGTGAATCACGTGACCCCATGGTCTATATTGCCACGTACAACACTTTTATTATTAAAAAATTTTGGAGTTTTGAATACTAATTTTTTGGAGAATATTGTTTTAAAAAGTAGTAAAAAATTTAGACTCACATAAAAAATATTTTATTATATAAATGTGTGTTTAAAAATGAGCATGAGAATTAAAAAATTCTGTTTAAAAAAAGAGTTCAATGAATTATTTCCTATTTGTTAGACTTTTAAAACTACTATGTACAATTAATTATACAATAGTATTATTAATCCAAAATTATTAGTTACATGTCACATAGTAAGCTTTGCCTATGTTATAATGCCTTGTTTGGTTATATTTTCTAAAGCTCCATTTTCTAAACTCATTTTCAATTATATACTTATTGAGATTCATATTTTTATCAAATTTTCAATTATATATTTTATCAATTTTTATCAAAATTTATTAAAAATATGATTTAGCTAAATCGAACAACGACAACATTTTTCTGGACTCGTTAATAAAGAACCCTATACTTTATTATATGTAATAGGTTGCACATTTAAAAAAAAATAACGATTTGCTTATTTGGTTATTAGGGTATTTATAACATGAAATAGGTTTAGGTGCATTTGGAATGTAGAATTGAAATCCAAGAAGATGGGCAACAAGGCATAATATGGATGAAATATCTCCATTGCAGCCCATTTAACTATTTAATTGTTTATTTTTTATTTTAAATAAGATTTAAATTTAATGAATAAAATAAAAAATAATAGTCGGGACAGTCCAGAGTACGAATCATATTCCCATTCTCGTCTTGATTTCCGGCGAGGTAGGGAATATGTGCTTCGCTCTTTAGAAAATAACCTCGTGAGAGCTCCTCCTCAAAAAAAAAAAAAAAAAGGATTTCTCTACACTTCTTTGAGAAAAGACTAGTTTTTGCCCGTGCATTGCACGGATTGAGTTATTTTGAAGACAATGTTAGTACGTTTAATGTGTTGAATTGTCGTGAATTACATCATCAACTAAATGTTTGATATGGTCAATTTAAATCATCTAAGTCGAATAATTAACATTATATTTGAGGATAATTAGTTTGGTCATAATCCTTTTATCTCAAGTTGGATCAGAAACACTATTAGTAAGCTAAGCTATGAAGATCAATCCTAGATCAATTTTGAGAAATGTTAAAAGATGAATTATTCATCAAAATTATATAATATGTATTCCTTGAGTTGGAATAAAATTATAAGGATAATCTCAATTCACAATACTATTACTGTTAGAACTGCACATATACAGGTGAGGGGAGGGCGGAAATTCATTCATTTCCATGTACATACATATATTTAAACTCATACATACACCAGGGAAAATCTTAAATAACATAAAAGAGAAGAGAACAATGTGAAAACAACACACTCGAAGATATAATTTATAGGGGCTTAATTTATAGCAATCGAACAACAGAAACTAGATATGGTTGATGAACATAATTTTACGAAATAAGGGCAGTTCTCAATCTGTTGTTTGTCAAAAGTACACTGCATACTAAATACTATTAAATCAACCAATAAAGCTGTTTTAACTCACCATTTTTCAGGGTCCAATTGAAAATGATGTCTCTGTAAGTGTTATGCCCTAAGTCCAATCAACTTTGGACATAAACACTTTGAATATATATATAATCAATGCATATGTATGGCAATATCTATTATTTAATTGAATTAATATTCTAATAAATTAAATAATAGAATCCGTAGATTCAAGTCTTGGTGATTTGTTAATCACAAGGAGTTGTGATTGTGAGATACAAATTACATATGACTGAATCTTA